TGGACCCCAGTTCTGTAAAGAGCTATTGTAATAGAAACAAGTGACGATTGTCTTTTTACCAGTATAAAAGAAACCTGCCCGAACCAGATCATCGACAGACGGTAGGGATTCGCTTGGCCAAGAGGTATATGATTCATGTCGTTTCGGAATTTCTACGTAGGCAGGGTTACAAGCTGTGATAAGAACGATTTCGTTTAATCGAAAGCCATCAGCGAGATAACCTGAAGTAAGTTGATTGCCAGAAGAATTTTCGTTTACGATTAATATAGGAGTAGTAGACCAACGAGTTAACACGCCTAGAACGAAGGGACATTGAGAAGATAGAGTTTTGTGCACTTCAAATTGGTCATCGGTATGTGGCGTTCACTGTTGAGAAATTAGATCACAATATAGACAGATAACTCGATCTCCAACATTACAGTAGAAAAAGTTGCTCTCGATCATCTGCACTCTCGCAGGTGAATGATTCTGTGGCCAATGAGAAAATGTTCGAGACCGACTTTGTCTTAATGCTTCAACTTCTTTAAAAATGAATCCACTGCTTTGATTCTCACTTGTTATATCCAACTTTTGACGTTTCATTGGATTCTCATCATCAAATAATTTTAAATCAATTCCATTTTGTGCGGAGAGTCGTATAGAAGTCAAAGAATGAATCTTTGCAATTTGTGGGTCCAACTTTATTGACCGCACGAATGGGCAATCTGATCTCAGTTCAGAATGTACTGTAAAAGGTTGCATATTGACATTCCAATCAGAAACCTCAAGCTGACATGAACCGTAACGAACGCTACCTCGAACTCCTATATATTCAAACCCCGCAGCCTTCATAGTATGAGCACTATATACGCCATGTCTTTTAAATAACTGTCAACGGTTCTCCAACTTCACTTTCAAATAATCAAAATGTCTTAATGACACACTACCAATAGTATTTTCCTTCGGGAACGTTCGTGTTTCCGGCAGTAAATGTGATTCACGGTTCTTGAAAGCATGAACTATTCCTTTACGTTGAAATTGAGATAATAATGCAGAAGAAACGGTAAACACATCAGTTATTATAATAGCCAATAAACTAATAAATAATACCCACCAATCCATTGCAGTCACGTTTGAACTCCATTATAAAATTAATACATACTGCGTCAATATAACATGCGAACAACAATATACAATGTTGGCAGTATACTTGCACATCATATAGTCTTTTCGTCGAATGCATTGTTTGTCACGGACAAGATGAAGATATGAATAGGTTAGTATATATCTCTGTGGCTGCCACTGTCAGTATGGAATTTCACACAGAGTCACTTCTACACATCCTCAGATAGCCCACAAACAGTTATAATCCTAGATAGCGACCGTACATGTGGTAGAGATCCTATAGAATTACTCCAGTTATTCTTCTTCAGACCTATCAACATTTAGTCCAAAAGGAGAAAAACGTGCGCATTGCCCAATGCCATCAAATAGAAGCGTTGAGCAACAGCAATATTTATCGCTTGCCTTTCCCAATTTTTGACACTTGATGGAATACTGAAAGCCTTTTTATTTCTCCGAAGACACGATGTTTTGCTTGGATCACACAGGGTAATACCAACAGGGAGAAAAATATAACTAAAATGTTTTCATTCTTTTCCTTTCTGTATAGGATTTCTTTTTTACACAAAGTACACTTGAGCAATTCTTCATCTGTATAAAGTAATTCGATAAGAAAAAAGGACTGCATCGTATGAAGCGTTGGTAAATGGCTTTTTCCAAGTTGCAAAAATCAGGTGTAAAAAAAAATCTGATGAAGTGACACTTAATCAGCACATGTTAACAACCATGTTATTGTATTTTCGACTTTTTTTCGACAGTGACGATTATGTGCAGAGGTGCATGTGAGCTACAAAAAGGCTTTACCCACAATCCACCTTCTTATCTTTTCTCTGAATACATTTTGTTTAAGGATATGAATAGGACGGGAGATGAGTACGGGTGTAGATGTATGGATGTAGGTGTCGATGGAGGTACCTGGTTATCGATGTGGCGGTCAGTTTGCTTGCAGTTATGACAGTGACTGTGAGTGTATGTATGCGAATCTAAATGCAATGGTGGGTGTAGTTGCTGGTGTTGCTACCGATGTTGTTGTGGGTGTGGGTGTGACGATAGCTATGGTTATGGCTATGCTTGTGGGTATGTACTTCTTCGTGTTGTTGTGGCTACGGGTGTGGTTGTGAGTATCGCTATAGGGATGGCTATGTGATTGTTCGTATTGTTGAGGGTGTGAGTGTGGTTATGGCAATAGCTATGGCTGTGCTCGTGGATATGTTGTTGTTCATGTTTTTGTGAGTATGACTGTAGACGTGGGTATTGCAATAAACATGAGTGTGTGTGAGCGTGGGTGTGAGTGCCGGTGTGGCCGTGGATATGGTTGTGTTTGTGTGGGTGTGGGTGTGCATATTCTTGGCACTCGCACTCACGCAAAATACCTGCTGCTGTTAAGCATTTTTTAATGAAAATAAATACTGCTAAGCATCATGCCATCTTGCCGAGCACTATATAGTCCTTCTGTGCACTAAGTCATGTTGTCGAGTAGTATGTCATCCTGCTAAGCACTACGTTTTAATGAAAATACATACTGCTATGCATTCTGAAGTATATCAAGTATTCATAGAAAGAAAGTTTTGTTAAGATTCATGAGAGGAATTAAGGTGCGGTCCGAAATACCATTAACTTTTATGATCGGATCGAAGTCCTGACCTCCCATAAAAATTTCAGAAGTTATGTGAACTGCACGCGCTATCTTCTCCTGTGGAGTTGTACTAGTAAAACCTTTCTCAAAAGAACTAGTTTATTAATGAATGCATGAAAAAGGCTCGTTTTTCACTTGTTGGACTCTTCATTTCAACCGACTAGTTTCTCATCTATTTTTAGGCGATTCGGTCAAAATTTTAAACGCCTGGTCCAGTCCGGTCCGGTTAAAAAAACTTCAACTGATCCCATGTCTGCTGTGAGCATGTGGTTACGATTGTGGGTGTCGGTGTAGGTGTAGGTGTGGATGTGGATGTGGTAATGACTAGAACTGTGGCTATGAGTGTAGATATGTGGTTCTCCATGTTGGTGTGTGCATGGCTTCTGGCGTAAATATGGGTATGACTGTGGATGTGGATGTAGGTAATTTGGTATTAGTCGATATGCAACTATGCGTATCGGTGAGGGGTGAGTGGGAGTGTTGGGATGTCGGCTTTGGTGTAGTTGTGATTGTGACTGTTGCTGTGGATGTTAGTGTAGATCTATGGATGTGTGTGTGTGTTGACATCTGTAGTAGCAGGTATGGATATGATTGTGTTGATTTGTGTGAAGGTTGGTTGATGGTTGAGAGTGACGCAGGAACGGGAACACATACCTGCACCAACACCCTGCATTCCAAACTTATCCTTTGTTACACCCATACCGACACTTACAGCCACGTACACAGACATGTACACCAGACACTGCTTCGACACCCGTTGTTTATGTTTTATTGAAGTGAACAATGATTTTCAGTTTGTACTTCTTTGCTAGTTTCGGTTGTTTCCAAAATTCAATAATTCTTGTCAACATTGCAAAGAGGATGATGACCATTTAAATATTGCTGACAGAACAGGTCGAAAGTTTGTTTCAGTTTATAAAAGAAAATTTTTCTGCTGTGTAAAAGATCAATTATATGTTATTTCAATGACTAAAAACCTCAATCTATCGCTTCATATTATTTTATTTTATTTTGTTTAATCAGCAAATAAAACACCATTGAATGGTCGATAATTAATCTATAACAACATGATGATTTCGAAGTGCTGTTATGCATTGAAAATAATTATTATGCATTTCGACAGATCTATGATGTCTGTTTTTCTACAATTTTCAGCTGAATATTTGTTAATATTCAGTACAATAAATCATTGTCAAGTGAAAATTTCCAAGTTCACATGGTGACGATTGATTCGTACACTAAGAAAGTCACTTTACCTGAAAAAAAACTAAGCATTTCGACTACAAATCAAATTGATCAAGTATCTTCCATCAGCTAACATGGATAAAGCAAAACAGTCAAATGAGCAGCTAACTGGAACTATTGGTCTTTATTTGTCATTCTCTCACTCGAATCGACTACGGTTGGAATCAATAAAGAATTTTTTTCTTACTCTTTTTTTTTCATCAGTCAGAAACACGAAAGAAAGAACGTATAGCTCATATGGATGTTGGGCTTCTTATGCATTATTAATAATTTCAATGCAATATAATATTTGTCTACTCTGGGGAGAAAAGTAATTAAAATTTTTATTTTCAATGCGTTGCTAAAGAATCCTTTTCTTTTTGATCATTATAACATATGGATTTTTTAATCTGCCAATATACGTATTAAGATTTGTCACAGAGATGTTGTGACAAGTCATGAATGGATAAAATTCTTTTTTCCAATATCTACGGTAAATAAATATGTGAAATAGAGAGAAAAAATAGGGCAACTAAATAAAGATATGAATCTACTTTTTTTTGAAATATTTCTAACATATGTGATATTTCGATATTTATTCATCGATGATCATTATTAGACCGACGTTGTTATAAACAGAGGAGCTTCTTTTTTTTTTTATATTGAGAATCATATGTTTAGTCTTGTTACGTCTGATTAAAATCCGATATTCGTCGACGGCATGAGGTTCTAAATTATGATGAATATTTGATATTCATCATACCACACAAAAGTAAACATTTGATTTTTCAATATAAATAAAAAAATCTTTATTTATAGTAATAATAGTTTAATGATGACAATAGATGAATAAATATCAAAATACCATTTATATGAGAAACATTTTAAAAAGTAGATTAATATTATTAGCTGTCGTGTTCTATTCTCTTCATTTCAATTATATGAGATCTACCTATAAAACGTTGATTTTTTTAAATATGAATAAATACTGTAGACTAGACCACAGTTTCAGAAGTTGTGAAAAGTTGTAGAAAATACAATGGCTTTGGCGTGCATTCCATATCTAAGGAAAGGTGAACCAATACGAATACAGCGTAGATCGGACTCTCCATCAACTCCAACAACACCGACAAATGCCATGATGAATGAAGAAAATGAAATCGATTATTCACCTATTGTTCAGCAGCAAGCTGATGGTGAGAAATGACGATATATTTCTATCTTGATAAAAATCGAGTTTGAAAATAGGTACTCGACTTCAAAAGAACGTTCGATCAATGGTTAAAGAAATGTGCGATATTCAAGGAAAATATTTCAAAGACTTAAAAGTATGGAGTAGGAAATGGAATTGCATATTCGAACAAGATACTTCTTCGCTAGCTTCTTATGAAACTACACAACGTATGCTCTCATCTGTGAGCTCAATTGGTCATGAACTGGCCAAAAAAATTGATCATTCACATCGTGAACTTCGACAAATTTTAAATTCAATTCCAAGAGAAGAACAATACCTATCACGACAATCTCAGCTTGAGCAAGCACGTGTATCAATTAATCGAGCTGAAAATGAATTGAATACATACAATAAAAAATTGAACAAACTCAATAGTCAACTACGTCGAATTAAAAATCAATTAAAAGATACATCATCAAATCATGCAGAAAAATTAGAATTGAAAATGCAACAAAGAGATGTCGAGGATAGTATTGGAAAAGCAGAAAAGGACGTTGAACATGCCAAAAAACTATGTCAACGCGCCGAAAAAAATCATCGTAAAGATACTGATACTATATTTGACCAAAGTCAAGAAGATGAGCTCGATCGACTTGAATCATTGCGTGATCCATTAATGATATTTCTTGAAACATTCGAAATAAAACATGGTGCTTGGCAACAAGCAATAGAAAATCATGATCCCAAACACGATCTCAATGCATGGAAGCAGAAATACTTTTCTCAAAAAATCAGATTATCAAACACACAATAAAATATGATCAACGTAGTATTTCTAATAGATTGTATTTCTTATTTTCTTTGCATTGTTAATCTAAGTATTAATAAAGTTTCGAGTAAAATTCGATAATTTTCTTGTGATTCAATAGTCCAAAGATTTCATTATGTTGACGATTTCAAAGACATCATTATATGCAATGAAAGTGTGTACAGATACAACTTTTGATGTCCTATCAGATCCATAATCACGATGATCATGAACGAACATTTACATTCCCGGAAGCGCAGACAAACGGTACAAGTATGATCATACATGGTCCGTAAACCATTCTTGTAGTAGGAATTGTATTACAGTTGAATGACGCTATATCATTTACAGGAACATAGACACGTTAGTTACACTAATATCCGTACTGCAATACGGTCATATTCTAACAGATACGGCAGGATATACTGACATTTACGATCGTATATCAAATTATATATCTCAATAGTAAAAGCATCTTTTAATAAAAATTTTATTTCGCTACAATAGTGAACTTGTCTATTCTGCGACAGAAAACTTTACGGCTCATATATATGCAATACGTTTTATTTTAATGTGCGATCATAGACCATATATCAATAAAGTCTTATTATAATATATGAACTACTTCCATATTGCATTTCTGAACGATTAAGTAAAAGGATGGTGGAGAAATGTGTTCCAAAATAGAACGAATAAAACCATCTTCATGTAATTAGCAACAACAGCTACACTATGTTTCATATTTCAATAATGCAGGAATTGTGCTAATAGCTTTGGATTTTTGTAAAATAGTATGATTCCAAAAAATAGTATTATTATTGTGTTTGTTTTATCTTATAATGAAATCAAGTTAACAGATAACAAAAAGGCAACAACAAATGTTGACTATAACAACGATAACAAATATTTTTCTGTATGTCTTTTCTAATTTATTATGTGCAATTTACTAATGAGAAAAAAACTCTAAGCTTTATGATCGTTCGCTCATACTGATACATCTCAAATGTTTCCTAGAGCAAGCTTCACTATAGCATGTGCTGTTGTCCATCCTTACATACTCAAATTTGCATATATTGTTAAATGCTTCCTATGTAAAAATGATCATGAAAACAATGATTTACTACTATTCAATATGATCATGAGAAAATATCAACGAGCAGTAAATAATCTGTGCATCGTAAATCTTAGTACAAAATGTTCGCTTCACTTAGAAGCAACAGTTGAGAACCAAAATCAGTCTATTAGAATCAAAATATTATACTTGTCCCGAATAAGTCTTAGAATTTCCTTCTTAAGTTAGCTTGTAAGCAAATTTTCCAAAGTGTCTAAAATGATATTTGGACAGAGTTTTTATTTTCATCGATTTTAAATTTTGATTGAAATCTAATCAATACAATATGTGAAATGGTTTTTATAGTTTAGTTTTGTAGACCAAATTTTGCTCTACAAAATCTGTCATGTCCTTTTTTGTTTTATCTGACACTAAAGATTTGAAATATTTTGTATTTAAAAAAAAAATCTTCGAAAAATTGAGTTTTTGGCAAATGTTGCTTGACATCGAAAATAGTTCTTCAGAAAAAAAATGCATTACTTAAGAGTGATTTCAGATATCGCCTATCATAATAATTCATTCTGTAGAGAATTAAATGCTCTACCAAGGGGGAAACGGCGGACTTTTGGACTTGAAGTTACTTTGAGCTACTTTACGCTACTTCAAGTTACTTTCAGCTACTTGAAGTAGCTTACTTTGAAGTATTTTTCAACTTCAAATTTACCTGAAGTTACTTGAAGTTACTTTAAGCTACTTGTTCCTACTTTGGGCTACTTGGGTGGTACTTTGAGCTACTTCAAGTAGTCTACTTTGACGTACTTTGACGTACTTTTCTACTTCAAGTCCGCCGTTTCCCCCTTGTGCTCTACAGTAACGCCCAATTAAAATCGTTTCATAATACAAAATAACCAAACTAAGAACTGCACCAAATTCTCTATTTTACTTTGTACAGATATCATTTCAAACTCTCAGAAAAATTTGCTGTTCAGCAAGCAAACTTATGCAAGAATAAAATTCTGAACATAAATTCGAAAAGATTATAAAATTCTGTTTCTAGTTCACTTCTTCTGACTCTCACCTATCACTTCTTGGTAGTTAAAAAATGAACGAGTATTTTCTTTCAAGACTTTCACATCGTTGATTACTATTTAATAAAAGGATGATATTGATTTAAAGAAACGCTTATGCGTCTCATTTTTGAAAACTAAAACGGACCGCAAAAGTTTAAGACACTTTTATTTTTGAAGTTTTTCATCGAAGATGAGTAGCTAAGTCAAATCCAAATAGTGATTTGGATAGCTCTTAAAATTCTCTATCAAATAGAATATCTCTCAAATTTTCAAAAGAAACTTTCTAAAGAGAGTTTTCTAGAAAATGGTGCCAGGAGGATTCCAAGTCCTAGAGAATTTTGACAGAAAGATTTTTCAATATAAGCATCTCAAAGAGCAGATAATTCTGAAGAAAATCAAAGGTCGCCCAGCTCTCTACGATATTTCCTCATAACATTCTAAGCATTAGAAAAAACGAAAAAGTGCGGTTTTAATTGAATTTTAGGGCTTTTTTTTCATTTTTTCTAATGCTTATAACTTTGTGATGGAATATCGTAGAGAGTTGGGTGACTCTTGATTTCATTGAGAATTTTCTTCTCTTTGAGATGCTTATATTGAAAAATCTTTCTGTCAAAATTCTTTAGGACTTGAAATCTTCCTAGCACCATTTTCTAGAAAACTCTGTTGATAAAGTTTCTTTTGAAAATTTGACAGATATTCTATTGGATAGAGAATTTCAAGAGCTATCAAAATCACTATTTGGATTTGATCTAGCTACTCATCTTTGATGAAAAAATTCAAAAATAAAAGTCTCTTAAACTTTTGCGGTCCACTTTATTTCTTTTATCTTGAGTAAAAATTTATAATGTTAATTATTGAGAGATGAAAGAGTTGATAAACTATGAAATGACATATTTGATCAATAGTAAATCAATAGTTTTCAGTCAGTACATACGTATATGTTCTAACGCTGCGACATTTGTCCATCCTAATTAGAAGAATCAGTTGATATATCAAGATCTCAATTTCGAAATTGAAATAGATTGGACCTCTGTACTTCAACAGTACATTGTTCATCAACTTTCAAGCAGCATCTGCCTCATCTTCTTCATTAGACCATCTAATATGTTTTGAAGAATTTATTGAAATTGAGAAACATGATGTTAACTAACGACCTCTATATAAGATCTGATTAAAAAATTCAAGTAACTGGAATAAGAATAAACTCGTATCTCATAAAATCTGAAAAAGTATTTAAATTGTGAATAATTAATAAGGTTTTAATGTTGGATAATGTTATCGTCATTAGTAACAGTAATAAAAATGGTAGATGTTGTTAACTAATGTTTTCGACGTAATAGAGAACTATTTTATAATTTTGATTTTAGAAATTTTTCATTAATAATGTTCAAACTACCTAATCAAGTTCATGCTGAGATTCAACAGACATCACTCAATAATAACTACACCTCGGACCTTGAATCTGAAGATATCAATGCTTGGACTAAGTATATTTATTTTTAAGATATTTTTCTTTTCTTAATAAAATGAGTATGAAATTTAGATTTTTTGATGACTCACAAATACTTAATGAAGATGATCGTAGTCGAATAAATAATATATTTAATAAACTCGTAACAAACATTATTAAATATGAACGGTAAGTTAATTTTTGAGAGTGAATTTTTTCTATGAGCATATTTCCTCTATATAGAGAACAAGATTTTCAATTACTTGAAGCATTTGCTAAGCGATTATTATCTACTGATAAAGATAGAGAAGAAAATGAAGAATCATTTATTTTAACATCATTTGATCAAGAACGATTAATAAAACTTCGAACAATTTGCAAACGTTTAAAACATTATAATTCTATTGAAAAATTACTTTCTACTATATTCACTCAAGTATTTTAATTATTGATTTTATTTTTTCTTAATTAACTAGTTTATTTTTATTTTCTTCAGAATAAATCACATGAATTAGTTCTTCCACCAATTAAGAAAACAAGTCATCAAACACGTTCATCATCTCTTTCTTTTGATGATACTCATATTACTTTACCAGTTAACAAGAAACAGCGAATATCAGACATTGAATCTCCAACTTCAGTAAGTAAAATATTCTATTAAAATTCATATAGAGATCATTAAATACAAGTAGAATTCATCTATATAATTATTTAGAATGATAGCAATTTAGTTTTTAATAAGTATAATATCAAATCTCGCTCTATATGCTTTGGTTTTTTTTTTGAAAATCTATTAGTTTAATAGAAAAAGAAAACAAATTAATATTGATCTATTTAGATTCATTCGAAATCCAAAAAACTAATGATGCATGGTCCAATAACATTACAAAATATTTATCAAGCATTACCAGCAGCAACACTTCAATTTGCTGAAGGTTAATTCATTTTAATCTTATAAAATATTTCAAATGAATTCTTTCTAGATGAATATGTTTGGCATGCTAATCGTCCTGTTAATATGATATTAGCAACAGGAGTTCAATTACCAAATGTTTTAACAGAATCAGCAACTAATACTAATATTGAAAGTGAACAATTCTTTTCAAAATTAATTGAAGATATTATTATTGAATATCAGAAACGATATCCAAGTGATCATTATGCTGCATTAAAACAATGGAAACAAAAACATGTAAAGCAATTCACTGATTTTTTTATGAAATATGTTTACTAATAATTCTGCTTGGGATCAAATAGAAGACCATAGTTGAAAAATTTCAGATGACATCATAGTTTTTATAACAGTTTTATCATTTTTTTTAACGGATTTGATGTTAAAATTATATTGATAGTCGAATTCTATTCCTAAGTTTTCAATAAATGTTCACAATGACGAGTTTTGAATAAATCTAATCATAGACAATATATATATAAACTAGTATTAAGAAGAAATAAAGAAATAAATAAATTATTATCCATTTCAAAAAAGATTGGACTCGCTTGTTTGTTGAATAACTCGGTAATACTGATAGCTATCGAATTCGAATTTCCATCGTTAGAAAGAGCATGAGTAGGATTGCAAGTCTACCTGAAAATCAAAATACTTGAAAAGTTTTCTAGGGAATTCCAGAGGTTTTTTAGAGAATCACTGTCTGATTTGCTTGATTAACTGTATGTTCAAGTGGAATTGAAAATCCAATAGCTCGAGAAAGGAATATCCTTTTTGGATGTTCTATCGGCAAATTTTCAGATCGAAATTCCATAATTTCATTTTTGGTAAATACCTAAGAATAGGGCGAAAATTCAGCAAAAAGGTTCGTAAGTTTTTGAGGAAAGGTTGAAAACGCCTAAAAATTTCGAGATTTATAAAGTAGACATTGGGCTACAATATGGCTAAATTAAAAATACAGCTAATCAAGTGAACCAGACAATGATTTTTTACAAAATTTCTGAAATCTCCTAGAAAACTTTTCAAATATTTTGATTCTCATATAAACTTATATCCACATTCATGCTCTTCCTAACAGCGAAAACCTCAGCTCGATAGCTATCAGCGCTGTCGAGTTATTCAACAAACAACCAAGCCCCTTCTTTTTTGAAATGGACATTTAGTTACTAACTAATCGACCGATCAAGTTCTATTTTTGATAACCAACACAAACGAACGCTTCAGTCTCTTTCTGTTCATACCATTTATGGATTGCTTAAATATATTTTAAGATTTGTTTTCAACTAATATTTCATCTCCGTAGATAAATTCTCCTGAAGATATTGGAAAGATTGAAAACCATTACACGTAAACAAATTCAACGTTCGTCTTAATCCTAAGGCTGCCATAAATATTTAGAAACAAGATATTCAGTAGAAAGATTTTCTTTGAAATATAATTTGCTGAGTAAATATCATATGATAAAGAGATTTTTTTTTAAAATAAATATTTATTATTTAAAACAAAATAGTTCTATTTTATTTTAAGGAAAATGATCAATACACTCAATCAATAACACCTCGTCGAACGAATGGATTTGAAACACTTATTGATGTTGTTCAACGACGTCATTTAGGAAAATTACAACGATATTTTCTTAATATTGTTTCAACTAATCGTCATTTTAATCCATATGATTTAATTACAGTTCCGGAATACAAAGTATAGTTTTGTTCTTTATTTATTCGATTATTTAAAAATAATCGTTTTTTTGTTTTATTTAAAAGGCTGATCCAGAAAATCATTATATCTTTTCAGTATTTGGAATATTAAATGTTCGACAAAATGGACTTGATGTCGAATTTTATGAATTAGCCGAATGGTATAGACATGCTAAACTATGGCATGCATGTCGACAAATACCTTTTTTTAGAGATTATCTTATCAGAAAACAATTCAATTTGTAAGTTTTCTAACTCTTTCATAATACTTCAAGAAAAAAAAAAAGAAATTTTCTTTTCAACAGAAACAACATTTACGAAAGACATAAAGATCATCGTTTTCAATGAACGAAAGAAAAGATAGTCTTCTTGAGTCTGAAATATTTAGTTCTAAAGGCAAAGAATTCTACATTGAGACTCTTATGTCATATTTTTTTAAAATAATTATAAACAAAAACAGAAAATATTCGAATTTACTGTTATTGTCATTATTTCGAAATTATATCATCTCACCACGGAGTTCATCTTCCTAAAAAGCAATAGGTTCACTATATTTGTTATCGATATATATTAACAAACGTTTTGTTAGAAAAGAAAAAGTGTCCATCAAAAAGTATAGTTGCGTCTATTTCTAAAATAGATTGAGAAATATAATAAACACTAGTGTGAGCCCGTGCATACTGCATGGTTGTTCTCTCCTTTAACGTATTACCTTAGACATTTAACTTTTCATCGGGTAACAGACACACAGAAACTTGATATTATGTATGTAGATAGATAGCCCTTAGGCCTCATACTCTTATATATCGTACATATTTCTATAGTACATGTAGCCTCCGTCCTTATAGCCTTATATCCTTCGTAGCTCTTGTAGCTTTATCCTCTTATTATCTTACTCCCTTCAAGGCCTATGGATAAGTATCCCATATAACAGCCCTTGAGGACATATGAGTTTTCCCATAGGATAATCCTTAAGGACCTATGGGTACCCTCATAGGATATTCCTTGCGGGCCTATGGGTATCCTCATAGGATAGCCCTTGAGGACCTATGAGTCTCTATACAGTAGTCCTTGGGAACTTCCCTTATAGCCTTATTTGACCTTCAACCTTTGACTCGGTACAGAGAAACACACATACTGAACATAATATATATAGATTTAACTCCGAAGTAAAAAACAAAAAAAAAAGGAAGAATAAATATTCTAATTTGTAAAATGATATTTATCATTAGGTGGTTATCTAACGCTCGATTTTCTCGATTCGCTCGACATCGATTTGAAATTAGTAACAGACATCTTTTATTAATGAATAATCATATATTTCAAATGGCGATAATTGAAATTCGACGAGTTATATATGAATATCAACAATTAACATTACTTCCAAAATTATTTTCGTAAATTGAATATATTATTTTCAATATTTTAAAATTAATAAATTTAATCTTTTTTTAGAGGAATGAAATTATCATTAAATGATTTTGAAACAATGGTTAAACGTCATACAAAAGATACATTAGAATATACAAAAAAATTTTATAATCATATTAAAACAATTCTTAATATGACACGTGAAACATGTGGAAAAAAATTACATATTATTTTAAAATGTCTTCAAGAAGATAATCTTATTTTGTAAGGGAAATTTTTCAAAATAATTTATCTTAATAAAAAAAAGAAACGTTTTTTTTTTAAACTAAAAGTAATACATCATCTGGTTCAATATATGAACAAAGAATACGAAAAGAAAATTTACGTAAAGAACTTGAACAAATGCAAAATGATATTCGGTAAAAGAAATTTTGTGTGTTTTTTTTGTTTTTGTCGTATTTAAATAATATTTGTTTGTTAAGAAATATTTGTCCATTTTTAAATTTATGTTCGGCAATGTTAGCATCATGCTTATGTGATATTCAACGTGATACATTATCACAATTTCTACTTACAAATGTAACATTTTTAACAAAACTTCATTTAAGTGATTTTGATTGTAAGTTTTTATTTATAAAATCAAATAAAAATTAAAAATAAAAATTTTTTAAAGCTAATCGTATGCTTCGATATCTTCCATCATGGGATGATTATCTTGAAATATTTCAATCTATTTTACAACAACCACAACAAATGCTTCATCAACAATGGAAATATATTTTAGAATTAGACACTTGTTTGAGAGATGCTGATAAAGTTGGAGATATTATCAGACAAGAAGGGTATAAAAAGCTTCTTTTTTTTTTTTGCTTGTGATATTGATTTATTGAAATTCTTCTTTTGTTTTTTATTAGATTAACAAGTCAATGTGAAAAATGTGGACAAGAACTTTATTTAGGTTTACAAGAAACATCATCAACTTCATGCAAATGTCAAAAACAACAATCAAAAGGTTTGTTTTATTCTATTCAATAAAGTTTCATGTGAGAAAAACTAAGTTCTTATTCGAATAATATTAATCTTAGATTATGTCACAAGTTATAAACGTTAACTATTTAGACAAACAAAAAAATGTATATATTAAGATTAAACAAAAATAAAAAGGTATAATACAGACAATAAATTTTGTAAATTATCAGAATAACTACTGTCGTTTGTCAAAAACCAATGAGTATGACTGTTTTTTAAATAACTTTTCATAGAAAGCAGATAACCAATTGTAGTTTTCATCATTCAAAAGAGAAATGTTAAGGGTATGAAAATATTTTATATTTCATCGATCAGATGAATATTTATTGAAGATCTTTGAGAATGAATTTCTAGAAAATTTTTTCAATGTATTTTGATTCTACTCAGTCTGATTTGTAAAGAAAAGCCTTCAGATCTATAGAGAATTAAAATTTTTAAATGCCACCATTCAAGAGGTATAAACCAGGACTCGAAACGAGCTGCCCAATCCGACGATTTTATCCTGTTTTGACGTAACTTTTTCTGAGATTTGGCTCATCCCTGACGAGAGATAGGAGGAAACTTCTCCACACTACTCCCTTGGTCATCACTTTTTATAAAAGTCGAAAAATATGGAATAACCGTTTATTGAGAAAAAAAATCTTTGTAAACGAAGTCTCTTTCGGACCCGAGCAGGCCTAAACAATGTTCGAGTCGGGCCATAAAAAAAGTGGCCTGATTTCGAGGGTTGGTATAAACGTTTTCCAGAGATCTCCAATTTCAAGTAAAAAAATCTTGGATCTTCTGCAAACAAGTCAAGATAGAATTAATAAACCACGTTGAGTCAAATGGTAATATTTGCTTTCAGTTTGAATATGATTATTAAGTCACTAGATCACAATTATCGAAACGTTAACTGGTGTCACTATATGATTTATGAAATTATCTTTTTCCTTTCTTTACAATAAATTAATTTATTCTATAAAAATAAAAAATATCTAACTTTATATAAGCTTTAATTAAAAGAGATTTTCTTTTTGGATTTGAACGGTATAATTTTTCGAATTATTCTTTTTCGTTTGCTCACTCATTGATGAGCAGACATCTTGAATCATGAATCTTATTTAATATTAATTCAATCATTTTTTTTCTATTGAAAATAGCTTCGAAAAATGAATCAAACAATCTGTCAATAAAAGGTCATGGATTTTTTGGTAGTACAAATCGACATGAAGTTTTACCATTTGAATCAATATTTACAAAAGAGTAAATTTAAATTTTACATGTATGTTTAAGTTCATGTAATTTGTTTGTTTTTTTTGTCTTAGTATAAAATATAAAACAGATATAAAAAATATTCTTGCACAATTTCGTTTATCTTTTGATGAATTGGATCAATATTGTGAATCAAATGAATGGTTATGTGAAATAAATCGTTTTTGTCTTCAATGGACTCCAAATCAAATGAAACAAATGTCGGAAGATAAACAAGTTTTTCTTATTGAAGTTTGTTTTAAAATAGAAAAAATAAAACTTTTTTTAATTTTATTTTGTTTTTCTTTATTAATCAAAAAGGAACAATTAAATCTTCTTCGTGGTTGGATTGATAAAACACGTACATTTGAATTAACATATTCAACAACAAATTCTTCTTATATTATTCAAATGGATTGTTCTGTTATAAGTCAAGATCTATGTAATAAAGTCGAAAGAATTTATACAGATTTTGGAAAATATCTTTTTCGTTATGCTTGTTCAAATGCACAATTACTTATTAAGAAATTTCAAACTGCACTTCAAGTTTGTTTTAACATTTTATTTTTTATTCTTGAAAAAAAAACGAAGAGTTTTTTTTTTTAAAGGTATTTGATCAACAACCTTCAGGCATTGAAGAATTTGCTAAATATGCTAGTTATTTAGCTCCACATAAAACAGAACTTGCATCAAATCAACAATCTATTGAATATTTTACAAGTCTTTTTGACGTAAAATAACTTTTTTTTTTTTTAATAATAAAATAAAAATATAATATTTGTTTGAATAGACGATTTTTATGCATTTTGGTCATTTACGTCAAGAAAATGAAAATGAATCAATCGATAAATTAATGACAGATACATGGAAATTATTTCAAAAGAAATTATCTGATGCAGCTGATTTTGTTGCACAACAAACTTTAATTATAAAACAACGTTTACGCGATACTTTTGAAGTAACACATTATTAGAATATTTTACTTAGAAATATCGACGTCTTTTTTTTTTCTTAGAAATTCTTAAATCAAGCTGAATTATTATATAATCAATCAACAAGTGGTATTTTTCTTGATTCTACACAAGATCCAATGGAAATGGTTAAACAATTAAAAAAAGTAAAACAAAAAAAGTTTCTTTTTCTTTTTAAATTAAATTAAATTTTTAAATTATTTTTCATATAGAATTGTATTGATTTTATGGGACTTGAAAAACAATTAAGACAATATGCTGAATGGCAAACATTATTAGCTTCAAATAGTTTAAGTCCAACAAATGAAGATCAAATTGAGAATGAAGATATTTATAATGTTAGTCAATGGTCAATAGAAATTGATCTTAGAAAAGATATTTGGAAATATGTTGAAATAACATCAAGTTCAATTAAAGAATGGAAAAATACATTTATTAATAAAGTATTTTAAATAATTATTTTATATATCTTTATATTAATATCATTTATAGTTTAATATTCGTCGAGCACAAGAAAAACTTGAATGTTGGATGAAAATTGCTGAAGATTTTAAAGAGAAAATTTCTGAAGATGATCCAATTGTTCTTCATTGGATAAAAATCCTTCAAGATTTTCATCAAAATCTTGAATTACTTAAAAAATTATTAAGTGATGCTATGACTGTATGCTGTTTAATTATCTTCCTTTAAAATAATAATAAAATAAATAAAAAAAATTATTTATTTTTAGACAGAACAATGGAAACTTCTTTTTCATGCAAATGGTCATGAATATGATCCTCAATATAATTATCGTATTCAAGATTTAATTGATTTAAAGATTCTTCAAATTGAAAATCAAGATGTTTTTACACAAATACATAAACAAGCAACAAGAGAACAACAACTCAAAGATAAATTAATGCATATGCAAACATGGCTTAATGAACTTCATTATCGAATGGCCAAATATAAACCACCTCTTAAAATAACTACAGGTAAACATATCAACTTTTTACTAGAATCTTTCGACAGTACTTCACTTTTTCAGTCGAATCAGAGTTTTGATTTTTGCATATATCGAAGTCTCAATCGGATCAACTTGCCTACAAAGTTTCAGAATTTCTGAATGAATCATGTCCAAGATATGGATTTTCGAAAAAATATTCCTGTATAATAGAATATCTACAAAAAAGCATCTATAAGCTAACATACGCGTATCTTGGAGATAATTCATCCAAAAATTCTGAAACTTTGTAGGCAGGTTGGTCTGATTGAGTACTTGATCTATACAAAACTTCAAACTTTTATTTTACCGATAAAGTCAAGTCATGTAAGAAGATTCTAGTAAAAAGTCGATATCTTAGCCAAGGACCCATATCCTTCTAGGATTTTTCTAGTTTATACATTCCCTACCTGTGGACAAAATTTCAGCTCAAAACTTTTTTAGCACCTGGAGTAGAGCCCGTCAGGTTGGTTCCGAACTCGGTCGGATCCGGGTCTGACTTTATGGGTGGTACTCTGAAAAAAAGGGTCAATTATAAGTTGATTCTTATAAGATCATGATCAAGATTGCTTCAGAACTGTTAGGAGCGTGTTCCTAGGAGTTATCAGGTACTAATTTAAAAAAATTCCATTAAGTATCAAAAGTACAATTCGATACTGAGTCCGAGTCTAAAATTTTTGGATCCGACGAGCTCTAACCTGGAGAGGTTCTCTCGTGAGATTGAAAACCAATACTAATGATATTTCTTTTTAAAATCCACAATTAAAATATATGCAATAGTCATATATTTTGAAGAAATGACAATGAAGAGTATAGAGAAAATTATATTTGCTTCCCAGTTAAATAGATTAAAAAATATTGCCTACAACAAAGTGTTACATGACATTCTAAAGAAAATTGCATGTACCCAAGTCGATGATTTCGATCTCTGGAAATAATTGGATTTCACTGAATTTGGCACGAAAGATACGGATGAAGTCACCGCATCAGGCAGGAAAACATCGGAAATTGTTGGAACGTTGTAGCAGTATTCCGATCGGATTTTTTCGATGATTTCCGATCGACTCCTGCCGAAAAGAACAGGAATTGGCTAGAATCCGCCGCAAAAATAAGTCTAAAAAAAGATTCTGGCCGGAATACTGTTTCTCTGTCCCGCTAATTTCTGGCTCGTAGTTCTTGACCTGGGATGAAGAAAAGCTATCAATTGTTTTTATCCTGATGAACTAGAAGATAATAAAGCAGAGAAAGTATTTTTACATAGCATAAAATCTGAATGTAATATATTGTAGAGATTTGTTGATAGTTAGTTAATTAATATATAAAATAACTTTAGTTCGAAATCGTATAACATCATCATATCGTCAACGTTTAAGTCGATATCGTGAATTACGTTCACGTACACCAACAGCTCGTAAAACTCCAACAGAAATAATTCTAACAACAGAATCACCAAGTGAAATTATTGAAGAAGCTTATATTATGATTAATTCTCAAGAAATTCTTCGTTTAATTGAGGTTTGATAAAAAAATAAATTTTTCTTTTTCTTTTTCAAAAAAAAGATTTTTTTTAGGATCGTTCATTACTATTATATAGTAATGAACCATTTCATAATAATATTGATAGTCGTCGTGAACAATTTCAACAATATTATAGATTATTTGATAATGTTAAAGAAATGACACAATTATGGTTTGAAACACAAAATCGATGGATTTTTTTAAAAAGTGCTTTAGTTAATTTAAATATTACAATTGATGATCAAATTAATTTAAAAGAGATTTATAATAAATTTACAGAAATTGATGAAAGTTTTCGAGTAATTTATTGAATTTTTATTTTTAAATAATTTATATTTTATTTAAATAGAATTTTCAAAAATTAGCATTTCAAAATCCATCTGTAGCTGGTTTAGCTAAAGTTGAAATGAATCGAATACATTTTAAAACTTGGCTTCATATTTTTGTAAGTTTTAAATTTTTAAATTTTCTTTTCTTTTCTTTTCTTTTTAATAAAATAATAATTATTATTTTTTATTTAGGATGAATTAATTATTGAACTTGATTTTTATTTAAATGAACAATATCGATCAAAATTTGGTCGATTTTATTTTTTATCAAATGATGATCTTGTTAATTTAATTTCATCTGGTCTTGATCCAAGATTTTATATTCCATATGTTAGACAATTATTTAAAGGTATTCATCATATTCAATTTCATTTACCGGAACAAAATATTCCAACAACTAATCAAACGATGAATTCAGCTGCTATTGATGTTTATGGTAAATTATTTATTAGATAGAAATAGATTTATACCCATTTTTCTTTAATTCATTTCAATATATACAAATTATTTTATATTCAAAAGTTTTAACTAGATCACCAATCTTTTATAAAAAGAAAGATCACACTCGCTGAATCAAAATTATTCTGTTAAATGGAATATTTAAGGTCACTTTCCTTCTCAAAAATCGATCTTAGGCTAGGTGCACTAAAGTCAAATGAAATTTTCAAGATATATTGGGGAGGCTATGATAAAATTTTCGGGCCTGTACTATAGTCTATGAGGAAGATATCCACCAAACAAGAGTCAAAAAATAGCTTATGTCGTCTTCAAAAATTCTCTGTAGTCTTCAGTCTATGTATTTAATTTTTTTTGTTTGAAAGAGTATGACAGAATGCAATGCCTATAAGAGCCTTTTTTTAAATAAACCATTATCTTTCAAGTAGAGAAAAAGGCTGACAAGTTCAATTACTCGAAAGGCTCTCAAAAAAATAGCACTCTAATTATAAAAGTTTTTTTCAATATAGTAATAACAACACTTCATTCAAAATACAGGATCTCATAAGCAATGCAGTTTTACACACACTTTCAAACAAAAAAAAATAATGGCTACAATGAAGCTCCTTCGAGAAATTCTAGAAGATGCGATCGAAAACCTATAAAACGAAAAAGATTTTTGATTTTTTTCCAAAAAAACAGTCTATTTTTCGAATAGGGATGATGGAAATCTTCAAAAATTTTTGGAAAAAAAAATCGAGGTACCCAGTAAAAATTTTTGTCGCTTATGAGAGATCGAATCATGGACTATCTTTCCGTGCATTTATCTTAATTTTGATCATTCTGGCGAAAAGTTACTTTTTTTTTGAGAGGGAGCACTTTAACTTGAATTGTTTTTATGAAACACGATCTAAACGGACTGTTGAAGTATATAGACTAGACATTTGGACTCAATCTTCCTGCCCTCTCCTACAGATCGTGACAAACTTTTCAATTAATTAAATAATTAATTACTTGACTACCACAGGCCGTTCCAGAAGCACTTCGGACACATCACAGACCGTGACAGACACGCTCCGGACCTGTCACAGACGGCTTTAAGGACCTATCAGAGATCATCTATAACTAACAGCTAATTGGAATATACAGCTCGATTCAGTTATTTTTGATAGTGTTATTTTTCGTATAAAGGGTATGGCTGTGGGTATGAGTATCAACCTTCTCTTCATTTGCAGCCACTGTCAGTGCCACACGTACTCACGAACATCCGCTCGCACGCTGTCATCCAAACTCACACTGGCACTACTACCAACACCCACACCCACATTCTATGGGTACCCCCATAGGATAGTCCTTCGACCTTCCGCTTATAGCCTTATTTAACCTTTGACCCGTCACAGGCAGACAGACACTGAACATTAAATATATAGATTACTGTCAATGAGTTTCCTTCCTTCGTTGTTCAACTATATACAATATCCTGAAATTTTTGTCCTAATATAGGATATATCTCAAGCACTTTTATCATTTAGATTTATTCAGTGTAAGAAATGTAATTTCGAAAAAAAAAGTTCTATTTTCATGAATAATAAGTAGACTAATTATATTGAATAAGTTTGTTTGTTTGTTTTTGTTTTAGCTTATCGATTAGAAGGTATATCAATATCGAATAGAGATAATGAAGAATTCTCATTAATATCAAAATTAAAATTATCTTTACCAATAATTGATTCTGTTGGATTAAATACTCAAATAATAAGTAGTCAAAGTTTAACAAAATGGTTTCAATCATTAGATAAATTAATAAAATATTCATTATCAAAATTAATATTTGATTTACTTGATAAAAAAATCAATGAACAATTAACAGAAATTTTCTTTAAAAAAACTTTAATAAATCCTAAAGAAAATAAATATCCGAAACAAATTATTTTACTTGTTGAACATATTTTATTTAGTTTGATACTTGAAAAACAAATTAAAAAAAAAACAAAATTATTTATTCGAAATATGAAGTTTGTTTTGTTTTTTTTTTTCTTTATTTATAAAACAAATTAAAAATTTCTAATAAAAATTTAGATTTAAAATCGAAGATCAACTAAATACATCAATTACAGAGCAAACAAAACAAGAAAATTGTTTAATTATTCAACGATTATATTTTCGAGATATTTTATCAAGTAAAATAAAAGAAACACGTTTTTATTTTTATTTTTTCTTCTTATGACTTTTTTTTAAAGAATTAATCGAAATTGAAAATGATTTAACATTAAATAGTTATGAATGGTTATCTTTAATTAAATATGAAATCGATCAAAATTCTCGAACAGAAAATAAAATTCATTTTGTTCAATTTTCTAATCGAATTCTCTATAATTTTGAATTTATTGGTATGAAACTTTCTTTTTTTTTTTCTTACTTTAAATTTAAAATAAATTTTGTTTTCCTTTTGATTTAGAACCATCATCGACATTTATAATTTCACCTATGATGGAACGAACATTATTTGAATTAACTCAAGCTATTTCTGCATATAGAATTGGTGTTGTTCATGCACCATCACAATATGGAAAATCAGCAGTTATTCAAACTTTAGCACAGGTTTTTTTTCTTCAAACAAATTCTATTATTTAAAATAAAATAAATATTTATAGTTATGTGGAACAAATTGTATTAATGTATTTTGTAATTTATCGACGAATGTTAATCAAATAGAAAATTTTCATCAAGGTTTAGTTGCATCAAATAGTTGGTGTTTATTTAAAAATATTCAACAACTTTCAATCGGTATTAACTTTTTATATTTAATATCAATGAATTTTTCTTTTGTTTTGAACAGAAAAAAATCAAAAAAAAACCAAAATCAATCGATATTAGTTCTAATGAAATTTAATAAGTATTGTTTTCGAGACTGGAATCATTTTCCTTTTTCCATCAAATTATTTCACCATTCTATGAGAAAAAAAAATCTTCAATAAATAAAAAAAAGTTTCAATGCAATTTCTATAGGGTATTATTATCGGCGCCATAATATGAGCCACCTGGTTCTTTCTTGAATAACTTTTGATAGAAACAAACTAGAGACCTGCGCTTTTCACCATTCGACCGAGGACAGAGATGAGCATCCAGACAGATTCTAAACAAATTTGCCATTACACAATGATTTCGAATACTATCATTCGATAGAGAAATTCGTTCTCTTTCGATCTACGAAAAGCCGAGATCTGCAGTTCATTCCGTTGAAGAGATAGGTGGTTTTTGCCAAAAGTCCAGATTTTACTAAATTGACTTCTGATCATTCGAAAAACTGGCTAGAAAGGGATGGTTGATCTTGCTATGTCAAATGGTAATGTTTGTTTTCGGTTTCAAAGTGATTGGAGATCTGTACAGAAAGATTTTCAACACATCGGCTGTTCACGATCTATAGTAGGAAAATATGGAATTTCATGAATCCTGCTGAAGACATCCTCAATCGCTTTGAAATAGAAAACAAACATTACCGTTCGACATAGCAAGATCAATCATCCCTTTCTAGCCACTTTTTTCAATGATCAGAGGTCAATTTAGCAAAATCTGGAGTTTTTGTAAAACCCACCTATCTCTTCAATGGTACGAGCTACGGATCTCGGCTTTTCGTAGATCGAAAGAGAACGAATTTCTCTATCGAATGATAGTATTAGAAGTCAATGTGTAATGGCAAATTTCTTTAGAATCTCGTTCTCAAAATTTCTATCAAGAAAGTCATCTGATTGGACCAATGAAATTCAAGATGGCTGGATACTCATCTCTGTCCTCTGTCGAATGGCGAAAATCGTAGGTTTCTAGCTTGTTCCTATCAAAAGTTATTCAAAAAAGAAGCAGGTACCTTATATTCTGACGCCGTTATTTGTAAAATACTCTCTGAGCGCCGTTTTACTTCGGACATATACCACTCGATAGAGTTTGCAATTTTTATTATACTGGACTCCAGAATGGCACAGTGTGAGGTCTAGTAGGTTCACCCTCTCAAGCTCTATTGACTAGTATAAGCAGAGTTACTAAATCGATATTTTCAAAAAGTAAAAACAATTCAGTGGCATTTTCGTCCGCAGAAGCATCTGTTACTTTCTTCTAATAAAGTACTCATAGTAAAATTTGCTGACAAATGGTAAAAATAAAACCAAAGAATATGATGACATGTATTTTATATTATTAATCTTTTTATATTCGTTCATAAAAATATACAAACAAAATTTGAAAAAAGTTTACTTATAAACTAATATGAAGTAAAATAAAATAGGAATATAGTAACGATAGATTATTTACTATACTGTGTATGAGACGTTTGGAACATGAGAGTATTTCTCTGATGACCGAATTTGTTTCAGTAAATCTAGTTTATGTAAGAGATATTCAGAAAAATGCAGTACAATTGAAATAACTGTTCATCTTAAGTTTTAACTTAGCAACAAGTTCATTTTTTCTTGACTATTATTCTACAAAAATTTCATTGGAATAAATATGAATTTACAAAAAGTATTTGATGGTTGTTTAGTTAATATAATCCAAAAAACGATCTTTTTTTTTTGACTTTTCTTGATAGTTAAACATGTCGCTAAGGTTTGATATGAAGAAAAAATAATAAAAGAGAAAAAAATCCGGAGAAAATCGTGAAAACTCTAAATATAAGTTCCCAGGAAAATGACAGTTAGAGCGTATTTTATCAATACCCGTTTGTATAGGATTAAAAAGTAAAATAAAGTTAAGTATCATTGATGAAGAATAGAAGATGACCGAAGAAAAAAATCATTATTCTTTTAATGAAGCAAAACGCAAACTGATAGTTGATGTTCCCAAACCTTTGCAAAGTTATCTTTATCTCAAGTTATATATATATAACACTAACATTCGCTAATTTCTTTTCGTTCTTGTTCCGAATTGAATTAGTGAAAGATGTGCTTCTTGTTTTATATAATAAAAATGCCATCATTTTTCGACAATCGAAATTGGTAAGTTTTGATGATGATCATATAACCATATAAACTGAGTACTCGATTGGAAAATGACAAAAAAAGTTTATTTGGTTGTTAACTAAAAAGTTTTCTTTTAGTTTATTTTAATTAAAAAAAAGTAATTATAAATTTTTTAGACTGTTTATCATCATTGGCAGCAGCTATGCGTCATATTCGTGTTCAATTCGAAGAACGTCAAATCCTATCTAATAACTCATATCGATCACTTAAAAGATTTAAATCTCAATCAGATATAAATTATTCATCATTTCCATCAAACATAAATCAAGTACTGAAAATAACAAATCATTGTTTATCTAAAATGAATTTAATAAAATCTTGTTTTAGAATAAAAATCGTTCAAATGAATATCCAATGACAAAAAAAAATTCAAATGAATATAATTCAATATTATCGCATAATCAAGAAATTCTTCAATATCCATTAACATATGGAATATTTGCCACATTAGATGATCATTATCGACCTTTATCACCAACTATCAAAGTATTGTTTTCTTTTTTGAATATACTTATATAAAATAAATTTCTTTTTTTTTTTTTCATAAAATAGTTTGAATGTCGAACAATTTCAATGTCACGTCCAGATTTAAAAATAATTGCTGAATCATTATTATATAAATATTGTTTATTTAAAATAAATCAAGAAGAAGATTGTCGTGAAACAGCACGAAATCTTGTAGATTTTATTGAATATTTACGACTTATTGTAAGTTTATTTAAGATCGTTTGTTTTTGTTTTATAATAAAATCTAAATATTTAGTTTGATGAAATAAAATCATTTTGTTCTCCATATATTCTTGTTCAATCAATAATTGAACAATCAATCAATATGAATATAAAACAAGCAACTATTACTGTTCTTAAACAATATCAATTATATGATTCAAATATTCCATTAATACTTGATAAATTTTTTATTGAAAATCAATATCAATTTAATGAAAATAATGATCAACTTTCTTTTATTGATAGTTTAAAACAAGAAGCACATGATGATAAACTTATTTTTGATAATGATGATATATTTAATCATGTAGATTTTTGTATTTTATATATAAAAATATTTAATAAATATAATTATTATTTAGGCTTCTCGTTTAATGTATGCACTTAAACGAAATGATTTTATATTTATTACTGGACAATCTACTACAGCTAAATCAACTTTGATACGTCTTGTTGAACGAACTATTAATAAACAAATCAGTACTGTTAATGTAAGTCAATTGAAAATTTTCATAGATTTTTATATGATCTTATTTGATAAATTAAAATAAAATACTTAGGATTTATTAAGAGTCAATATTTTAAAATCGACTCTTTTTTTCTTATCATACAAGAAATATGTAAGAATAACTTTATTCCTGTGTTCATTGCTGTGATATCTTCATCTTCTTTTTTCTTACTTGAAAAGAAAATCCATTTATTTTTTTTTTTTTTTGTATTTTTTCAATTTTTGTTATTTTCAAGGGTGATTCTACTAAAGATGAGCAACAAAATCTAGTTATTATAAACAAAATGTTTCCAAATTCATTTGATGAAGATCAAGTAAGAATAAATCGATATTCATAAATTTTACATTAAGAAAAGAATAAATTATTTTTTTTTGTTTTTAAGTTATATCATACAAAAAATAGTTTTATTGAACAATTGAAACGATATCATGCAATAACAGTTGCAACTGATGTGGTAGATTTATTTTCTATTATTTAAAATAAAAATAAAAAATCTTTCATTATTTAGACATCAAATCAATATTGGATTGTTCTTGATATTGATTCTCATTCGAATTGGTTAACACCAGAGAAAATTCAATATATTTACAATGAACTTTTTTCATCATTAACTCGTTATGACGGTAACAAAATTTAAATAAAAAAAAAAAAAAAAATCTAAAATTTTTTTCGATATTCTGATATTGAAAAGGTTCAATAAAATTGATAATTGAATGTGATCAATTTCCAAATGAATTTTATAATAATTGTTCTATATCTGGTAAAATGTTTATATTAAATATTGATAAAATTTCATCTCGAATGAAATTAATTCAATTATCTGTAAGAAATCTTGAATTAAAACTTCATTTATTAGATTCAACGTAAGTTTTTATTAAAATAAATAATTTAAATAAATATATATGATTTCTATATAGATTATCATCAATAAAATATTTTATAAATGATATTATTGAACCTTATATAAAATATATTGAAAAAGAAAATATTTCTCATTCTTATATAAATAATTTTACTGATTCATTTATTAAAATTCTTTCAGCTTTTATTGAACAACATTTAATTGATGTTCAACATAATCTTGATGCACTTAATTATATATTTGCTTATTGTTTTATATGGGCTTATGTTCATCCAATTCATATCAAGTAAACATTTTTCTTCGATAATATTTTATCTTTTTCAAATTATTTTCTTTTAGATATGAAGAACAAGTTACTTCATTTGTTCGACAACTTTTAAAATCTTATGATTTTCCTCCAATGGATTCGAAATTAACTGATTTATATCCTGATTTGAATCAATCATCATTATCATCAACTCGTTTTGTTCTTGTTCGATCATGGTTAAAATCACATGAAATAAATTATGATTGTATACCTGAATTTGAAGGTGCAATGCGTTTAATGTCAATGCTTATATCAACTAATTATTCATTAGGGATTTTTAGTTATGAACAAGGTTTTGGTAAAACAACATTAATCAAACGTTTATTAACTAATATATCTCATCTTCGAATTATTTCAACTGGTCAACAAAAATCATTATTAAATGATGAATTATTTAAATATAATTTACCAATATTAACTCATGGAAAATCAATACAAGGAAGAAAATTTGTTATTTGGATTGAAGATGTTAAACAAGAAGATACTGAATTAATTCGTTCATGGATTGATGAATATTCATCATCAAAACATCAAGATTTAAATATTGTTTTAACAGGTCAATCATTTAATTCATATCCATTACGTTTTACACGACATTTTGTACCAATTATAATTCATCAATCTATATCAACTTTAATTGGTTCAATTTATTCAATACCAATTAAAAATTGGTTAGAAGAATTTTCTGTTGATGCAATTAGTCATCCAATTGAATTAGCTCATGCTTGTCTTTTAACATTAGAAGAAATATTTGATTTTTTAAGACAACATTTAAATAAATTTAAATGGAATTTACATCATGTTGAATCTCTTATTAATGGAATGTTTTTATTAGATGGAAAACCTAAACGAACTCATAGAGAATTAACAAAATTAACATCAAGATTTAATAAAAAGAAACAACAAGATGAACAAGTTGCTACTATTGTTAGATTATTATGTCATGAAATTTCAAGAACTATACTTGATCGTTTAACAAATACAAAAGGTATCATTATTTATTTAATTAGAACTTTTCTATTGATTAATTACTTTTATTGTTTTTTATAGATCGTATTCTATTTCAAGATTTTCTTTATAAAACAATTGTGGCTAATTTTTGTACTGAATTAGAATTTAATATTGTTTCAACGAATGAAGGAGAAACAAATATTGATGCTCAAAATGATCATCCAACTCTTCCATCTGCAGCATCTCCAGTAACACCTGGAAAGAAACAAGTGAAATTTAAACTAGGTTTGGTTAGTGATCGTGCAGCATTAGCTTCATTAGAGGGACCTATTGTTCCATTTGGAAAATTAGTTGGTCTACCTAAAATAAAAGATCCTTCAAAAGTAACAAATTCTGATGTAATTATTGAAAAATTAAGTCAATTAACTTATTTTTCTAAACAAATTCTTCCAATGCATGGTGATTATATTGGTGATCGTGATTCTTATACAAATCAATATCAAGAATGTGATGATATACAAATAAGTACAGCACTTCGTTCATGTCAATCACGAATGAATAAATTAGTACATATGGATTTATCATTTATTCCACGTACATGTCGTCATATAACAAATCTTGTTCGAGTTTTTTGTTTATCACAAAATGGTCATGCATTACTTCGTACTAATCATATTGGATTAGGTCGTCAAGATTTAGTTCAATTATCTGCTTATATATCACGACAACAATTTTTTGATGCACATTCTTCAATACCATTAATTGATGAAAATGAATCTGTTAAACAATCTCTTCGATCAACTTGTCTTTTAGCTGGTTTAAAACAAAAAAATGCTGTTCTACTTATACGAGAAAAATTTCTTTCTGATCAAATGATGAAACAATTATATATATTTACATGTGAAGGAACATATCCAGATCTTTATTCAAATGAAGAACTTATTCGTATTGCTGCTGCACTTTCACCGAGTTTACCAACAACTCGTCGAGTTCTAAAAACAAATGCAGTTTTAAAAACATTTTATGCTAGAATTAAAAAGCGACTTCATTTAGTTATACTTGAAAATAGCCAACGTAAGAATCATTATTATTTTTTCATTTTTTCTTTCAAATTAATTATTATATATATTTATTTATAGAACCTCGACATGTCGGATTATTATCTTCATGTTATGTTGATGAATATCAAAATTGGACAATTGATGAAATTATGTCAATTGCTCAATATTGGATGACAAATAAAATTGTAAGATTTGTTCAATAATTAATACTCTTACTTATTCAAATAACTGAATATATAGAATTTGACAATAAAAGAATAATTCATTTTTTAACCCTTTCAAGATCATCGCTCAACCAGTGAATGAAATTTCTTTGAAATTTTAATCCTGGGATGTACGAGTAGGGGTTAAATTTCGATTGAAAGCTGTCGCAAAATTAACCTTTGTAGAGTACCATTAGAAGTTACTCTTAACTTGATGCCGACATGGAAATCCGAAATATTTTTGATACTGCAAAAGGGCATTATTCGCCATTCCTCCTTTTCAGAATGAGATAGTGTCCCAAAAATCTATTATGCACACTGCCTCAGTGATCTCATTAAGGTTATAACTCTTGTATAGATGTGTGTACCGAAGTCTCTTCTATGTCATAGAGAAAACTGTATCTTCTCGATATCTTTTTCCATTCATGAGTTATTCAGAAATGAAGAAACTCGAAAAAACTGTACTTTATAAAGTACGGTGGGCCTGAAAGGGTTAAACGTACTTCTTTTACCAAAGAAGAACAAATTGATTTCGTTGATATCGAATTATTTTAATAAGTTTGATGTATTAAAAATATACCTTACATTAACAAAAGCAATTCATAAATGACTATCAATGAAGTGTAAGAAAAGGGTTGTTTGAATTTCGGACCGATTTGAAATTCTTTTAGCACTTTCGATCCGCCCTTAAGCCGATCTCATTGACTCCTAAAAAAATGTTTTTTTTGTTAGTTAATTGGTAGGTACCGTAGTGTTGAACGGAACAACATAGTGCTGAGCAGAACGTCATAGTGCTCAGCAAGATGGCATAGCACTGAGCACAAAGTCATAACTATAGTATCATCTAAATTCATCCTGTAGACATTAGCATAATCTCTCTTAGTACTATGTCGTTCTGCTGAGCACTATGCCATCTTGCTGACCACTGTGACGTCTTGCTGAGCACTACGCCATATCGCCCAGCACTATGTCGTTCCACTCAGCAATACGATATCGACCAACTAACTAAAAAGAAAATTTTTTTAGAGGTTAATGAGGTCGGTTTAAGGATGGACCGAAAGTCCTAAAGAAATTTCGGACCGATCTGGAAGTCCGGGTCGAAAATTCGGTGAACCGAAATTCTAATCTTTGAAGCTATGTCAGTCATCAAAAGAATGATTGTATACAAAAAAAAACTACGTAATCTATAGAACAGTATAGATATTGATATTGTCCGTCTTAAGAACCGTATGCTTGTCAGTATATGTGAATGATGATATAGATAATATTTGACTTAATTTTTGGATAATAATTAAGTAAATATGTTTTTAGGATATTTCACATCCAATTGAATCAACGTCGATATTTAATTCAGTTTGTCAAGGTTTAGCTGAAACTTATTTATCTATGGATGAATATCAATCATGTACATTGAGAAGTGTTCGAAAAGCAATTGAATTTTTCTTTAAATTTTATCAAGAAATTGAAGAAAAAGAAGAAGTAAAATAAAATATTGTTTTTTATTATTTTGAATATAATTTAATTAAAATATATTTATTAAAGATTCATTTATCTCGTTGTGAATCAATGCTTAATCGTAGTAATAAATCTGAACGTATTATTGAAATGAATAATCGATTATGTATTCAACTACAAAATGAAATTGATGATTTACAAGAAAAATTATCGAAATTAGATGAGGAATTTTTAGTAAAAAAGAAAAATTTTTCTACAGTAAGTTTTATTAAATAAACAAAAAAAAACCTTGAAAATATAAAATTAAATGAAATAAAATAGGCTGTAGATGATTGTCGTGAAGAAGAAAAATTACTTAATGAAATGAGTATTGCATTAGATCGTCTTCGTCAAGATGTTCAAGCTGATGTTGAAAAAGCAAATCCACAATATGAAAATGCATTAAATGCATTAAAAATGTTAAATAAAGCTGATTATGATGAAATTCGAACATTTCGACAACCACCTCAACCTGTACTTGCTGTTATGAATACAATTTGTATTATGTTTCAACGAAAACCTGAGTAATTTTTTGAAAATAATTTTCATTTTCTATTTATTATATTTTTAGATGGTCTGAAGCAAAAATTTTAATGGTTAAAGAAAATTTTTATGATGATCTTGTTTTCTATGATAAAGATAATATATCTGATGATGTTTTTAATATGTTAACTAAAATTGTTAAATTCGATACATTTCATCCATCATTTGTTGCATCTTCTTCAAAAGCAGCATCAAGTCTTTGTGCATGGATTCTTGCAGTTTATGAATATGCAAAAATTGCACGATCACAAAAAACAAAACTTGAACAAGTTAAAGCTTATCAAGAACTTTATAATAAGGTATACTCATATTCATTATCATACTATAAAATTATTTCGAGAGAAAAAAAAACACATAAACATTTTTTTCTATAGGAAATCAATATTCTTAAAAAAAATTTCACTTCATCTATTTGTACAAAATTCGAATACTGAAAAAGAAATTGAAAAAAATTATTTAGCAAAAGAAATTTTGTGAAGTCTTTCAGAATTTCGCTGAAACAAATATCAAGAAAAATTTATCATCCAATGGATTCTAATATGATGGGAGCAATTTTCGTTTCATCCTTTTTAGTTTTCCTGTTTGAGAGAATCCCGCTTGACCAATTTATATTTTGTATAATATAGAAAATTGCTTGTTTTTATTCTGTGTTACACCTTAAATAAAGTATGTAACTTCAACAGACATCAATACTTATAAAAGCCAAGAAAATTAAGAAAACGATTTTTTTTCGTATCTATCTCAAATCTGTGGTTTTTCGCGAGAACGGAAAAAGCTTTCCAACAGGGAAAATTCTTATATTTCAACGTGTTCGAGCATTACTTATTTCAAACAAACATCTATTTGAATGTTTTAGTTGATTTGAATATTTCTGAAAATGATAGAATTGAAATTTCCGTTTTTTTTGTTCTATAGCGTCAACATGTCCTAGGCGAAAAACGTATTCGAGCCGAAAAATTACGCGAAGAATTATCTCAATTAATACTTGAACGTCGTTCACAATCGACTGAAATTCAATCAAAGAAAAAACGTCAAAATAGTTTTCAATCTACAATTGATAAAACTCGTTCAATGCTTAAATTAATTAATGATGATATAGAATATTGGCAAGAACAAGTTGATCAAGGAAAATTAAATAAAAAAATATTAATTACTGATGCACTTCTTATTGCTCTGTATTTTTGTTATTTATCACAATTTAATATTGATCAACGTCAACAATTTTTATTTAATTGGCAAAGAAAAATTTTAGAAAAGATTTTACCGATACGACCTTATTTTAATCCAATTGATATTATTATTAATCAAAAAGGTTTTACAATTTTTCTTTTCTTATTAAAAAAATAAAAAAATAAAATTTCTATTTTGTTTAGAATTAAATGATTATTTATTAAAACAAGAATTTTCATCAGTAGTTGATCAAAATTCACTTTTAAATGGGATTAATTTAACTAATCAACTTGATAATAGATTTGTTTTATTTCTTAATAATCCTGAAGATGATATATCAACATGGAATGATTTATTAATTAATTTTAAAAATATTTATCTTCAAAGAGCAAATCATGGTTAAAATAATTCACATTTTTTATTTTTGTTAAAAATAATAAAAAAAATATTTTGATTATTTTAGAAATTGAATTATATTATGAATATAAACAAAATCAAGCTAATATTACATCAGCTGATATTCGAGCTGGAAGTTATCAAGATCGAACACAACTTTATTCACGTATTAGTTCAAGTAAAACATATATTACTGAAATAACAGAAAAATCTTCACTTTGGGAATCATCAACAGTTATGTCAAGACCAGCTACATCGTTTGTTCTTTTTTATTTCATATTTTTTTATTTTATTTTATTGATTTATTTTGTTTTAGAATGGTTTTATCAAAATCAGCTGGATCAGTTGCTTTATCAGATTTAGAAAAAAATAAAGATTTACTATCAATACCTGAATTTTCTCTTGAAGAATATCAAAGACCAGAAAATAATATTATTCATTTATCAGGAAAACAAACAGAAGATTTTGATAAAGATTTATTAGCTGCTATGTTTTTTGGTAAGATATTTAATATATCATCATCATATAATATATCTATATTATCGAATATTTCATCTTTTTCAAATCATCATTCAATGAAAATTTCGTTTCTATAATCAGTATCTGATTTTGTTAAAAAGATAATAGTTTATTGAAATATATTACCATGAACAGACTTCATGTGAGGGTTCCAGACTTGGAGGTGGATGGGGAGGTTCTGAGGCAGCAAAGATTGAGAGACGCAAAATTTTTTTCTAGATCAGATCTGATATTAATCTTTCTCTTGCAACTTAAAATGTAAGAATTTTGCGCGAAGCTACAACCTTTTGCAACCTTCTATGGGAAATTTTCGAAAAGAGAACTCGTATTCAATGTAAGAAAATTTCACAATGCTTTTGTTGTCGAAGATGACCTCTTTCGCGAAAATTATTCTAAATTAAGTTGTTTCAAAGAAAAGATTGACTAAAGTAGAAAGCTCTTCTAAGCCAACAACGTTTGCACAATTGCTATTTTACGCGAAGCGAAAACTTTCTTCCGACTCATGAAAAACTCTTCTTTTCCTAGTGTTATTAGAAAGGAAAAAGTGTTGGCATAGCTCTTAGTAATATCACCGTTGAAGGTGGGTATCATTTCTCTTATAAAATAGTATGTAGGATGGAGTTGTGCAAGTTGAATATAGTATAATGATATGTAGAATATTTAATAAACTATTTTATTTGTAGGTGTGATTGTTATAATTGATGAATGTGATTTTTTAAAATTAAATCCACTTTTATATCGATTTATTTGTTGGTCATCAAGACGAGAACAATATTCATTAACATTTCCAAATTTCTATCGTTTTGGTGATCAAGAAATCTTTATTAATTCATCATTTCGTTTAATTTTTAATTTTCGTCAAATCGATCAAATACGTACGTATTCAAATATAGAAATTTTATCAAAATTAAACATTTTTTTTTTTATTATTTCTAATAAATTTAGAATGGAAAAATGTCTCATTAAAAAATAGTTTAATTGATATGAGTTTAAGTTTAAATAAAATTGAAAATGATCTTTGGCTTCGTCTTGTTGAATTAAAATGTCAAAATAATATAATTCAACAAATTCATTCAAATCAACGAAATCATTTTATTTCATTAAATGAAAAATTACAACGACGAGTATGTTATATTCAAAGAAGAAAAAACATTTCTTTTTTAATAAAAATTTTAAAAAAAAAATTTTTTTTTTAGGAAAATTTAATTGATATACTTGAAACAAAAGAAAATTTAACAATTGATTCTGAAGAATTATTAACAATATTAAATAAATATAATAATGATAGAATTCTAATTGAAAATTCTCTTAATGAACATAAAGTTCAACGTGAAATGTTATCTTTAAGAACAGGTTGTGAAGCTTATAGAGAAACAGCTAAACATTTATCTCAACTTTATATATTATTAAGAGATTCAAATATTAATTTAAAAATTTCAATAAAATGGTTTATACAAATTGTAACAAATAATTTATCAAGAAGAATTGAAATAAATTCAAATACAAATAATGATAGTTTAGATATGATTAGTAAAGTTCAAGCAAGAGAAACTTATCTTCGTTGTTTTGAATCAATTTATTCTTATCTTTCATCAAGTATGTCAAATGATTATCTTCAATGTATTATTGTTATATTTGCATTAATTAAACAAGATAATATTGAAAATATTCAATTATTTCAATTTATTATTAAGAAATTAAATCGAATTAATCAAAAAATAATTCCAAATTTTCTTGATGATCAAAAAAGACCATTATTTATAAATAGTCATTCATGGTTATTATGTCTTTCTGATGAAATAAACAATAAATATCCAAATTTATCTCAACATTTAATTGATTATCAACATGAATGGAATGAATATTTATATTCAACAACTAAACTTGATTTTATTAATAAAACTCCATTAGAAAAAACAACAACAATTAATATTATTGATCGATTTATGCTTTCAATTATTTTACAACCAGAAAAAGTCTTGAGAAAATTCTTTTGTTTTTTTTTTTAAATATTCTTTATTATTTGATTTATTTAGATTTTTGAATTGACTCGTACATTCTTGATTTATCATTACGGTGGTCTTATTCATGATAAATCGTTATCAGCTATTGATGATGTTTATCAACTAACGAGTAGTGAGATTCTTAAACCAATGAATAATATAATTCTTGTTTGGACAAGTGAGTTAATAATATGATATGATATATTGAATAATAAAAATTGTCGAATATATATCTAGGTTCATCTGCTTTTGTTGATCCAATTGATGAAATTAGAAATTTAGCTAATAAAATGAAACAATCAGTTCGACTTGTTTCATCAACTGATAAAAAACGTCTTAATCGTTTTATTAAAAGTAAAAAAGATTGTTGGTTAATTATAACAGATATAAATTTATTCAATGATCATCTTTTACAAATTCGAGTAAAAAAATAAAATAAATTTTTTTTTTTCAATCAAATTAATTATTTTATATTTAGGATTTTATTTTATCATCAATTGATAATAAAATTTGGCTTCTTTGTGATCCATCATATTCATTTAAAGTACCTTGTAAGTTTTGAAATAAAACTTTGTTGTTTTTTTTTATAGAAATTTATTTTAAATTGTTTTATTTAAAGTATGGTTAACTCAACGATGTTTACAAGTTTATTTAAGTGATTCAACTCAATCTGCTTTTTATCTTCGTTTAAAACAAAAAATTTTATCAGAAAAAAAATTTGAAAATATAGAAAAACAAATTGAACAAATAATTAATATTCATTGTTATATTATCACAAAAAAAGTTTTTTCAAATAATTCAATGAAGTAATTTATATTTTAATATTTTATTTCTTTTTAAATCTTTTATTTTTTTTCAATTAAATAGTTTTATTGAAAATGATTTTATTATTGATTTAAAACATTGTTTTGATAGAAATCAAATGAATATGATTGATTATAGAAATTATATTCAATATCAAGATGAACAAATATTAATTAATTATATAAAACAAGTAAATTTAATTTTTTTTTCTATGATTTATTATTTATTTAATTTAATATATATATAGAGTAATGATCCATTAAATCTAGTTAAACAAATAGCTGATCCATCAGAAACAATGAATAATAATCTATTTTCAATATTTGAATATTTATTTGAAAAAATAATTTTATCAAATGAAAAAACTAATTCAACAAGTGAAGATGAAATGCTTCTTGTTGAATCAATTGTTCGTAGTTATTTAACACATATTCGTTCAATTTATTCTTCTCAATATCATTTAACATGTTCATCTTTAATTGATTTATTTATTTATATTGAATATCATTTATTAGAATCTTTACAAAAAAATTTATCTCATCAAATGGAATATTTATTAGACGTTTTTGCTTCTATTCATATTCCTTTATCAAATACAAATTCATTTATTCGTTCAATTTTATATGATTCAAATTCAAATATTCAAAATTTTATAGGAAATTATGGTTTAGCTTTGAAAAATCTTAGTCAAATGAAATCAAATAATATTAATTTGAGATTTATTCGAAGACGAAAACAATTTATTCAAATAATACGTCTTGAACAAGCTCGAAAACAAGATGATAATCTTGTCTTTCATGTCAGTTATTTTATTAAAATAAGATCAATCTTCTATTTGAAATTTTCTATTTTAGTTGAAATATGATGGAAAAACAGAAATATCGAATATTTTGACTCTATCTGGTATTCATTCAACATCGAATACTAAGAAAAACGAACTTATTATTTATCTCGATGAAATATCTCCAAATGATAAAACTCTTATATCGGCTATTACATTGAATACGAATGATAATAATACTCCATCTTATCTTCCACTTGTTATTCATAATGATATAACAGATAAATCGGAATTGATTCTTTTTTTCTCCATTGATAAACCTCATCTTTAAAACAAAATATCAAATTATCTTATTATTTGATGCCTTTATCTATTTTGTTTTTTTTTTTTGTATTTTTCATTTTGCCGGTTTTTGAAAAGAATATAATTTGGAATAATTGAATATCATTTATCACATAATAACAAACGAGAAATGACAATTCTTCTACCTAATTAAGAAATGTTTATTTCTGCTTGAAGATTTGTTCTTTGATGTTGTTCACGATAAGTCGTATTTATTTTTTGCAAAAGTTTCAAATCATCGCTATTTTTAATCGATATTATTTCTATGTCATTTAAAATTCTCGAAAAAACTCTGATATGATCATATCGAGAATACATCATTTTTATAAAAGTTGACTCGAGAGAACAAATGGAATTTCTTATCATTCGATACAATGAAAAAGAGTGTGATCGTAGATCTGAATCTTCTCTTTACACACAGATCTTTGTCCTTCTCCATCACGTACTACCTCCTACGCCTATTAGGAAGCTGCGGATCCGAGTCTAGCCTTTTATTTTTTTGTCAGGCCTAGTTACATGTTTTTGTTGACCTGCTGCTTCCCAGATGAGAAATCCAGCAACAATATATAACTGTACGTTGAGTTTTTTTCTGAGAGTAACGAATAAATAGCTAAAATCTTGGTCCTTTACTTATCCATGTACACGAAAGGTGATAGGTATTGATGAAAAAAAACCTCGAGTTTGGACCCGCCGCTTCCTAACACTTATTCTCAAGACCGTACACGAATAGCAAGACGAAGCTTTTTGGATGTCCAGCAATTCATTATCGATTCGCTGACATCGACAGTGTGGGATAGAAGAAACTTCATTTCTTTTTGATAACGATATCATACACAACGTTTACTAGCAATGCATATGTTATGTTAAGAGTTCTATGATCATTTTCAAAAGACTTCAATTCTTAGCAATACAATTTATGAACTCTTTTTAACAATCGTTGACTGGTATTGAGCATATTAAGCCGAGCGAATTCAAGTTAAATCATAGATTATACAGAGTGAGTCCCAAAATTATTCAACAAAGTGTAATTTGGATTCTTTTTCGTAGCCTTAAGTACTAGAAAGGATCCAAATAGTGATTTGAATAGAGAATATTGTTGGCAACAAGAATGCGAGAAAATGATAACCGTCATGAATCTTCCCAAAATAGGATTTCTAAAAAATCAACATCCCAGTTTTTTAATATTTAGAAGTCGCAAGAGAAAACGCTGTTTTAATCGTCTAGAATTATAGAGCAGCCAATTCTCCACAAAATGAGACGTCTCCAAGCTTTCTACGACCTTCTCTTCAAAAGTTATAAGCGTCACAAAAATCGAAAGAATGCATTTTTTAGTCGATTTTCTCATAAATTTCACTTTTTTCGATTTTTGTGACGCTTATAACTTTTGAAGAGAGGGTCGTAGAAAGCTCGGAGACATCTCATTTTGTAGAGAATTGGCTGCTCTATAATTCTAGATTGTTAAAACAGCGTGTTCTCTTGCGGCTTCTAAATGTTGAAAAACTATGGTTTTGATTTTCCAGAAATCCTATTTTGGGAAAATTCATGACGGTTATCATTTTCTCGAATTCTTGTTGGCAACAACGTTCTTTATTCAAATCACTATTTGGATTCTTTCTAGTAGATAAGGCTACGAAAAAAAATTCAAATTACACCTTGTCGAATATTTTGAGACCTACTGTATTTAAAGAATTGCCAGAAAACAAAATCGGATGATCACAATTAAGTCATCAACCAAGTGTAGCAATATTGAAATGTTAATCAGATTGACAGATATGTAGTCCATATACGCGTTTAAATAACCGTATTTTACTATATTACATGGTTCAGTATTACAATCTTATATATGCGTGACCTTGTACGGAGCAACATAGAACGAACCGGAGGTCGTATACGGCTTCCATTTACGAAAAGAACCGACGAGCGGTTTTTTTTTCTTCGTCAATCACCGGATTTCTCTGTATACGGCCGTTTATGACTATGCGTGTTTGACTTGGTTGTTTGTTCGATCAAGAAGATTCATAAATCAATTTTTTGTATTACATCAATCAGAAAATACCATCAAGAAAAATTTCATAGAATGATCTATTCGAAATCATCTTCAAGCAAAACAAAACATCAGATTTCAGATCGAAATGAAAGTATAAAAGATCTTTTGAGTTCTACAACATTGTTATATTATTTGAGTTTAAGCAGGACAAGGCTTCAACACTATTGAAAATTTATAGCGTCGATTTTAATGGTATCGACTCGATAAGTCTGTGAAGTCTCTATGTCTCATTCTATTTAGACTTAAATACCTGAAAGATCCTAGATGCAAGAATAAATCAAAGAATCTTATCCTCCTATCATGAAAGCTAAACTTAAAACATCGAAATTTTAGAAAAAAAAATAAATCGGTTTATGAACGATAAGATTTTTAGTTTTATTAAGTCTCTCAAGGCAAAATTAACTTTTTTGAAAACAATACTTTTTAATTAGCGTGTTAGAAAACCCATTGATACACTCAATCCTGGCATGTAAATACAACAGTCAAAATCAAAGAGATACAAAAGATTAACGAACGTTTGTCATGATCTTGTCGTTGTTCAAATATGAATTTTTAATTATTTTATTGATGATGTAAAATTATTATAATGCGAAAATAAATAAATGACAACTATAATAAAATTTAATACACCTTAAATGTAATTGAAGACATACCGTGATAGTTTCTGAAGGAGACACAACAATAATGTTCTTTATAGACAAATAAAATAATCATTATATATCTAATTAACACAAATACAATACAATGTAAATGAGAATTACAGTAGTAATATAGCCTTTCAATAACCATCATGATTAATGAAAAGTGTATTGAAAAAAATTGATTTAATAACATCACATAGATCGAGATAAATAAAAAAATCATAGTTATTTCAAAGAAAAATAGAACACGCCAAAAGTTTTTTCATGCGGCTCTTTTAAAAGAAGTAATTTGAATGCAACTATTCAACTAAAATGCTTAGACATATTTAGGATTATGTGCAAAGTTTCAGACTTACGAGGAAACATCCTGAAGATGTTAAAAAGTTTTTGACCTCAAATTTCATCCACAAGCTGCGATTCGGCTGAGATATTGACATTTTACTGTAATTATCCTGTAGCAGTCCACTTTTTCAGTAAAATCAAAGTTTCGACTTTTGACCTGAAACTTTTCCCACATTAAGGCATCGGTTAGACTAGCTTACTTACAAAGTTTCAGAGTCTTTGGACAAATTCTCTCTAAGATATTACTTTTCCAAAAATCTCCATGCATAACACAATTTATATAGGAAAGCGTCCTTCTGCTAATACACTGGTATCTCGAAGATAATTTGTCTAAAATGACTAAAACTTTGTAGATAATCTAGTCTGATTGATGCTTTGATCTAGACAAAGTTTCAGATCAAAAGTCGAAACTGTGATTTTACCGGGAAAGTGGACTGCTTAAGAATAGTTACAGTAAAATGTCAATATCTCAGCCAAATTGCAACTTACGCCTATATCCTCTTAGGATTTTTCAAGTCTACAGATCGCCTACTCGTGGACGAAATTTGAGCTCAAAAGCTTTTTAGCATGTGTAGAAGTTTCCTCGCTAGAAGTGTTACGCTTCATTTTAATTTTAGATTTATTTGGAACTAATCATACAGCGATGTCCACGTCAATTTCGAAAAGGAATTTAATACCATCCAGTCCTACATGAGTAGCAGCAGCAGCTTATTGAAACAAGAGGTCAGACGAATAAATTATAAAAAACTTCTTTATGAATTCTAATTTAACCAAATTCATATCAATAGGATTTATTTATTGAAAGTTTGATTGTCAATAACTGCCTAATGCAACTTATCAAACTATATAAAAAACTAATCTATGAAGTCTCCGTTTGCACTGTAAAAATGCAGAACTACAAAAAGCATAGTATATCAACGAAGTTTTTGGCAAAAGATCATATGGAATCATATTCAAATAGAGTATATTCTACAAATATAATTTAATATAATTTTTTTTTTCGATTTTCAAAATTCAAATATCAATGATCTAAAAAAGGATTCTTCGATGAAAAAGGCAATACTCTAGAAAACAACACTAGAACTTAGCCTTTGAATATTTATCTGAAGGATTGACAAGAAAGCTTTTGAAGTGTTGCTTCTATAAAATTGAAAGTATTAATTATAATTCTTCTTATAGACGATTAACTAAAACTACTAACTGTATTAAAAGATAAATAATGAGAAATGATATCAAAAATAATTTAATCTGTCCTTTTTTGCATATTATTGATTATCACATTCGTATAAATTATTAATGATTAAATGAGCTGAAGACAATCATAATCGATTAGGAAATGAAGATTCATTTTCTGTTATTTAATTTATATTTTTTAATATGATATGAAGTATTTGACGGCATCAGAATTGAAAGAGTTCAGATTTGACGAGAATGAAATTGAGAGAGTATCAAATACATAACATCTAATCAAATCAACTGAATAGATTGAAACTTGTATAATTGACATATGTTATGAAAGATTCATGTTTACATTTAGGAAACCTTTTTGTAAATGACTTTTATTCAAAAAAGAAATCGTTGATCGGTCATCATGACACCGCTGTTGTATGCCAGTCTCTTGTTTATAACTACGAGAGACATAGAGTAGATTAGTAACCGACAAGTCTACACGACCGATCTAAAAGATAATTCTGAATGATTTTTAACATTTATTTCTATGAGGGAACCTGTTCCTGTTAATATTTTGTCAATTCATTTCTATATCGAGTTATACGATTATGAATAAATAACATGAGAGAGAGAGAGAGAGAGAGAGAGACAAATATGTTGGAAAGTATTATAATATTAAAGGAAAACATTCATGTCACTGCTGTCATAATCAAACAAAGGAAATTACTAAGCAATTACCAGATGTGCCAGTTACAATATGAAATAATTAAAGCGTAGCACAAATCGGTC